CTTTCATAAAAATAGTTAACATTAAACAAACAAAATAAAAACAGCCAAAACTAGTTAAATTACGCGTCCGTACGTATTTTCCCCCTACTGACATAAACACGACAAAGTACTAAAAATGTTATAGGGAATATTGCTTAAGGACATCAGCACTAAATTGATTTTATTTTTTTTATGAGCTTGCTTTTATTTTTGTTATCGCTCTTGTGGCGAACCAATTCTGAATCGTAAGCTTGGCGGCATACTGGACAAAATGCAAATGTTTAAAACAAAATCTATGCTTACATGTTGATTGGCAATCCAGTTGCAATTCGTATTCGCAATTCAAATTACTTATTTTTAAGCATTCAAGTTGCACACGCATTTTTTTATTTTTTGCTTTAGCAATGATTATATTGTTGAAAAATAGCGGCAACAATAATAAATTACATTCAAGTTTCCTCTTTGTTGTGCTGTTAGATAAATAAATCAAACATATATGTATGTGGATATATATAAAACATATATGTGGATATAATTGCATTTTGTTCTCATCTTCCCAAATCAATGCTTAATGGTTTTTTCGTTTCTGCCAAAAGATGCCGCATTTTTATTGCCGCTTTCTGTTTTCGTGTTCGATTCTAAAATAAAGGCAAACGGTGGAAAATTTTGCGTTCGATTCTTAAAATGTCCCACTCTTGTAAGGCAAAAAAGACATTTTCTGCCCTTTGAAGCTTTGTCAGGGGCAGTGATCGGACTTCTACCACATTGCGGTAGATTTGCCACTTTTTTGAGCATCTACCACATCTACCACTCAAGGTCTGAAATCTACCACATATTCGCGCTTTTGAGTAGTTTTATTTTTGCTTGACATAATTTTCTTAATTTTAAGGGCAAAAATTGTCCAACAGTAAATACTATATGGTAACAATAATAGTATAATACAAGATTCCGCATTCCCGGCGACGATGTGAAAGTAAACAAAGCCGAATGGGAGGATAAAATAAACTGTAAAATAGTATATTTTCTCTAACCAATTTTTCAACAGGAAACGCGGTTTTATTGTGTTAAATTGCAAAATATATGATTTATAAAAAGAATTAATAGCGAAAATGTTTGTGAAAGTATTAGCAAATTTAAGTGCATCTAAGGTTTCTGAGGCGTTGTTTACTTTTACTTGAGAATTGTCAAAATGGGCAAATCCCAATTAACAGTTTCTGGAATGTGCCACATTTGTTCGCTACTTCGTGATGTGATAAAAATAAAAGCTGGCAGCACTCCGCAAGGTTGCAGAAATCTCTTAAAATATCTACGAAAAATATCTTAATATGGAAGGAACTGCTTTACACTGTAAAAGAAAAAAATTGCCAAAACTCAACGTAATTTTTAGCAACTTCAATCTTGCACTTTATTATACTAAAATTAAATTTTTTTAGAGTTTAAATAAAAAGTTTGCCATTTAGGTGAAACCTTGCAGAATTTTTTTAATTTTCGTAAAAAGTTTGAACCAAACCCAGAGATTTACCACATTTTTTTGAAATCTACCACATTTTTTTCCAGATTCTACCACACAGAATTTTTTTTTTAAGTCCGATCACTGGTCAGGGGAGATGATTGTCCCTAAAAATCAGATAGTTGCTTAAAACGGTAATATTATGAAATGCGTGAGCTGGACAAGGACAAGAGGCAAAAACATGCCCTTTTACAGGGTTGAGTGTAACATCAAACACAATTCGCACCGCGCAAGGGCAACAGTTTTTGGTAGAAACGAAATCACCATAAGATATTTACACAAAGCTGACCGCAACAGTTGTGTGGAACTAATTAACAACGAAACTGAGTCAAATACAAATGCATAGGCAGATTTCTGAGACTAGTTGTTGTTGCAGCGGCACCACTAAGCCCCGCCTATTTCGGTTTATCCATCAATCATCTTCATCTAGCTCAACTAACGGTAGGCCCAAGAAAAGTAAAATATTCATTCCAAAAATTGCGATTAGAATTTACCAGGGTCCGAAAATAATAGTTATTTTCAAAAATTTCAATTCTGAAAGTCAGTCGGAAAGTCGGCCTTTTTAACATTTGTACATAGTAATGTGATGCTTGTAGCCAATATGATTTATTTTTTTTTTACTTTTTTCAAAACAGTCAGCAATTAACCGTTATTTTTTGACTGATATTTTTTCAGTCAAAAGTAAAAGTTAAAACTTGACTTTCTTTTTTCGGTCAAGTATAAAAGTTAAAATTTTACTTTTATTTTTTCGGTCAAAAATAAAAATTAAAAACTTCTTTAATTTTTTCGGTCAAATATAAAAGTTAAAATTTTACTTTTATTTTTTCGGTGAAAATAGCAGTTTACATATTCACAATACAATCAGCCGGGCTCCCATTTTCATTTACTTTTGCGTTTTGAGTTTTCGTAAAAATCGTACGTTTTTATTTTTTGGTGCTCTTGAATTCCCAACTTTTTTTTATATTTGGCAAAGTTAATCGATTTATCGACTGAATCAAATCGCAAACAGTTGTTGTTTCGGCAATTTTGCTGCAGAAAAATTTGAGGTGTGGTCCGTAAATATTTAATAAAAAAATAAATTAAATCTAATATTTATTTTTAAGTACGGGAAATGTATCTGAAGAATTTCTTTTAATAAATAAAAATTGTCCAAGCTTTTATAAATCGGTTATTAAAGCGTGCGACGTCATTTACTTTTCATTCCACTAAGTCTAAAGTTTCCGATTTGAAACCTCGAAAATTTCGCGATATACGATTGTGAGAGCTCGCAATTATGCGATTTGAAAACTAAAACGGAACATTTTTGCGAATTCGGAAACGGGAGCCCGGCTGAACATGTTTTAATAAAAAATGTACATCCTCTCAATTGCAGTTTTCTATCTTCTGTAAATATATTGAGTTTCTTTAATTTAAGCTTTAAGTTATTCACCTTTTTACAGGAATGATTCGGAATTCAATTTAACAATAAAGTTCTGCTCTGAAAAATTATATCGCAAATCGCTAAGAATAAGCTTAGTGCTGAGAACGCGCGTTCTACACTGACTTGTGTCGCTGGCACTTCATGTATAATACATGCCCGATCTGTTAGTCAGGAATATATAAATTTTTTGCTTTCCGAGTAATCCATAAGGTGCGTATCAACAGCTATGCGCTTCCCCTTAGAGCTGGAAAACTATCGATGGCACTATCGGTAGTATCGAAAACATCAATGGTTTTGTAAGCACTATCGATAGTTTTCACTCATATATACATAAATTATTCGGAAAGAGTAAAAGCCGGCGGTACCTGCTTCATCTTGTAAATCGGAAGGGACATTTAGCAAAACAGGGCAAATAATTTTAGAGCGCAGATGCTGGTTGAAGCCAACAATCGTTTATAAACTTTTGTCGCTTAACAAAAATATGGCCATATTTTAGCAATTCTGATCTCATTTTCAATAAAAGTTTTTATGTTTAATTTTTGGACTTTTTTAATCAAAACTATCGATAGTACTATCGATAGTGTCGACATTTTCGATAGAATCGATACTATCGATGGTTGTGACTATCGACTATCGAAACTATCGACGGCCGCGATATTTGACCGAAAAAATAAAAGTCAAGTGTTAATTTTTATTTTTGACCGAAAAAATAAAAGTCAATTTATAACTTATTTTTGACTGAAAACATATCGGTGAGAAAATAACGATTATTTTTTTACCTTTTTGAAAAAAAGCATAACCGTTACAGTCGCTGGAAGTCACACTAACTTTGTCTCCTAATGATGAAGGAAAGGTCATGAAATATAATTAACCGACAAAACGGGTTTAAGTATGAATTATGGACAGCTTTATGAATTATAGACAGAATTTCTGTTTTACGGCAAAAAGTTCCTTCTATTTCGTAGTATTACATCCACAGGTTCTTATACTTCTCAGCGGTTCGTCGTTGTTAATTAGATCCACGCAACTGCATATTGCATGAGTGGGTAATTTACAAAATACATGTATGTATATCTTAATTTACTAGTTTCATAAAGACCAATTTTGAACTATTGTTGGTGAATTAAATTAATAGCTCAGTGATGTTTTTTTTAGTATTTGAATCTTTTCTTCTCGGACTTAAGGCAGAGCTATTTGCATTTCTGTTTCGCACTCTACTGGCTCTCATTATACGGGCAAAATGCATACATTTTAAAGCGACTATGGAATCTGCCTGTACAGCCAACGCTCTTATCCACTACTTAACTTAAGCTTATTTTAGACATATGTGTATATGTATTTATTATCTTTCTATTATTTCCATTATTTTCAATTCACTGCCTTAAAAACGGAAAATGTTCTAAACAAGTAATTTTTAAGCAAAAAACAAAACCGACTTCAATTCTCATATAAAAATTTAAGATGATCGTTAATTTCTTCATGATCCAATGATCCGATTTAAACCAAATTAGTATGGGACCACCTAAGAGGTAACACCTTACCTTTAAAAAAAAATATAGAAATCAGTTAACGTGATACAAAGTTATGCGGTAACATACATAAAAAAAATATAAAAAAATAGAAAAATCACCCCTATTTCGAGTGTCGACTAATAATAGATAAACGACTGTTATTTGATTATAGATAAACGACTATTATTTGATTATAGATAAACGACTATTATTCGATTATCGATTATCCATGGTATTTTCAATGTTGTTTTCTCTTTCAATAAGTGAGTGTCGCACATCCCTCTACAAACAAATACTTGTAGAAGGATGAACGACTAAAAAACGGGAAATCGACATTCAAAATACCATGGAAAAGCGATAAACGAATAATAGTCGTTTATCAACTACTAGTCGACACTCCAAATAGGGGTAAATATTCCGACGAATTGGTAACCTTCTCCTTTTTGAGAAGTCGGTTAAAAAAAAGATTAAAGAAAATAAAAAAGAAGAATTTAGCTTGAGCTTCAGGGATCATATAGTTGCTTTTTTCATAATTCACTTTCGAAAGATGCATAAATCTACATAAATATACACCCGAAGATTTGTTTAAACAAACTGTCATAATATTTTTGGTTTTCTCTTAATTATAGATTTTCCAATTATATGTATATGTAGAGGTGTAAGTATAAATATAAGCACATGTATTACTCGTATATGTATGTATATTTATTCTAATAGAAGCTATGGTACATTATTTACAAGAACTTTTTCAACCAACCTTAAGATAATCATTGAATAAAATAGCAAGTCATAAATTTTTATATGTAATTAATACATAATAGTTGCGTTGATTGTAGATGGCAACACGCAACACCGATGCAGTCCTTTAAAATTCTAAGTTTCTTATTTTTTTTTTTTTAATTTTAGGCTACCGAGTCAGATTCAGTTTTCGTACCACCAGATTTTAATTCCCGTTCTCTAAAGAACCCACGTTCAGTTTTGCATTCGCGAATAGTCACTGTCTCTAAATTTACTGTAACATCGGTGATCACCACTTTGTCGGATATATTACATTTGCTAGGCAACCAAAAGCGAGGTGGCAGCGCTTTCGGTGAAAGTGGCTCCAGCGCACTTTGTCGCTGATGCTCGTCGGTAGTGTGACCGTTGCGCTTTGGCGAATAGGTACCGTCGTCACCCGTTGCCTTGCTTTGCGCTGCCGAATTGGCATTCTCCGTTTGGCTATCTGCTTGTGATGATGAATCATCATCATCCGCTGCTGAAGCATTATAATGATGCTGCAATGCTGCGTTTTTCTCTGCGGGTGTGGCTTGTTCTGGTCGCGAAGCAGGTGTCTCTGGGGAAAGCGGTTCAGTTTCCGATTTTAACGGAGTTGATATCGAGGTGGCTGTGTCTACACTGACAGCATTCGCACAATGTTGTTTAGGCGGCGGTGGACCATCGGGTGATGTTTTTATAGTGACTCCTATTTTACCCGACTCCTTTAACACTTCTGCTTTGCGTTTAGTGCCCATAGGGGTTACTTCTTTTCGGCTAAGCGGCTGGTCCTCCGAACTGGATGAATTTGAATCAGCTTCAGGAATGAAATTCAATGCAGAATTAGAAGCAGCTGCGGCTGCCACAACTGCAGCAGACATCGATGCCGACGTGGAGGTATAAGTATGACGCTTATGTCCGCCATTTTCTCGATGCGAGTCTGTGTGTGGTGAGCGAGAGCGATTCCGTTCAGATTTCGCTGAGTGATGATGATGGTGATGATTGTGGTCCCGTTTCTTTTCCTTTTCCTTCTCTTTTTCATAATGATAAGAGTGATGGTGATGACTGCTGCTTGTTAATGCAGATGCCGCGGCTGAGGTGGAAGCTTGGTTTGTATCCACATCGTCACCGGTGAAAGTGTACTCATCTTCCTCAGATTCAGGTTCGGGGTCCTGCGCTTTTTCTTTGCGTTTACTACCTCGTTTTGATGGAGTATTTGATGATCGGTTGCTCTGTTCGTAAATTTCTATAAGACGTCGATCGAGAATGTTCACTTCTGGCTCCCACGTATTATATCGTTGATTCCAACCCTTCCATTTTACACGATACTCCAGAACACCCTGCAAAAGAAAAAAATACCACATATGTACATAAATACAGTATATCTTTAGATATGGGTGTACGTATGTATATTTAAAACATTATATACATACATATAATTGGTTTTAGTAACAAATAACTTATATTTGAAATTAAAAATTACTTATTTATTAAAAAAAAATATATTTTTTTTTTATAAAAAATTTCGGTTATCGAAATGTCCCATCAACACTGGATAGCCTGGAAAATGGACATATCTTGAAATACGGACAGCGGTCATTTGACCCAACTACCTTTAAATTAATTTTAGTAACATAAAACTTAAAATTATAAACAGTTTGTTTATTAGTTTAAAAATAACATACAATTTATATTTTGGTTTTTATTTTCTTATTTTTTGGTTACAAAAAAACTGTGTATAGATATATGTTTGCCAATGGTCAAATGACCTCTATCCGTCTTTTAAGGTAGTTATACTTAAATAAATTTTATGAATTTAAAAAAAGTCACGAAATACCAATTACTGGCAAAAGAAATATAGACAGTCAACTTTGAAAATTTGTTAAGTGAACCCTGTCCATATTTCCAGTGTTAAACATTGACCAAAAGGGCAGGGTGGTCAGGAATTTGAAGATGTGGTTCGTATCGCACGGTGCAACTTCACAAATTAAACATAAGGGCGTGTCGCGATTGATTCTGGATAGGTAGGAGTTTAAGTTTAGAAACGTCCCTGGCCAACAGTGCTTTTTGTGCAGAGGATCTATGCATAATTTTTTTTTTTTTACTTACCTTATCGTCACTAGACACGAATAATGTTTCGACGGCGAAAAAAGACGCATAAAAAAATTTCACGAGAAAAGGCGCTTAAGAAAAACTTCGGCGAAGAAAGACGCGTAACCTAGTTGACGGCGAAGAAAGACGCGTAATCATAGATTTATACTTGGCCAAGGACTGTCACTTCAGCATTATTCCCCAAAAACTATTTACGGAATGTGCATACTATTACACCCGCAAAACATAGTTGACGGCGAAAATAAGTTTACGCGTCCTTCTTCGCTGTCAAATATTTTAACGCGTCTTTCTTCGCCGCCAACTATGTTAAGTCTTTCTTCGCTGAAGTTTTTTTTATGCGCCTTTTTTCGCGGTCAACTTTTGAGCTCGCGCCTTTATTCGGGTCTAGTGACGTTATACTGATTACATATCGACGGCTGAATGGAAGATCGATATCTGAGCAGCCGGTTCGAAAACGCCCTATTTCAGCAAATTTTTCAAGAACGCCCTATTTCAGATGAGCCTCCTGACGACAGTCGGGTCCACGTAACCGGAGCGACCCAGACTTACATATATCTGGCCAAGGACTGTCACTTCAACAACACTCCCCAAAAACTCTTTGCGCAATTTGTGTGCTGTTACAACAACAACAACATACCGGAGATCCAGTATAAACACAACCAATGTCAGCGGAGAATAACTCTTGCCAACAGGTGCTACAAACCAAAACATAAAATTTACCAGCATCGTCTAAAAAAATTAAGTAAATCTCGAAAATTTAAGAAAATTATTTATCGGTGGAAAAGGTGTTGCCCCACAAGTGGAGGCACCTCGCCACGGCACGTCAGGAGGCATCTTTACGAACTGACGGACGAAGTCCAGAGGTTTATCAAACAACCTCTGGACCCGTCAACCTATCGACAGGCCCTGAACGGCATTCACAGGGAATCAGTCTCAAGTTATGTAGACTCCCGCCCTGTGAATGCCGTTCTAGGCACACAACCACCGGACGTGGACGGGACAGAACTTTGTCTGCCTCGGGAGACCCGCACTACAATAGCCCAACTTCGCTCTGGCTATTGCAGCAGGCTCAACTCTTACCTGAGTAGAATCAACGAGGATGTGCCCAACCAATACCCGGCATGTGGAGAGTCGCCACATGACTCCCGGCACCTCTTCACATGCCCTGAGAACCCCACTCAGCTAACGCCCCTGTCCCTATGGACAGCCCCTGTGGAAGTCGCACACTTCCTGGGCCTCCCCCTAGCTGAAATTGACGACAACGTTGATGGATGAACCGCCCCGAACGGGGCTTAGTAGCCGCTACAACCACAACAACAACAGCTTTACACCGCCTCCGAAAGTAAGACGGTATTTATGAGAAACTTTTTCAGGGTAGAAATAGGTACATACAATACGAGGGTCCAATTGCCTGCCGAGAGGCGAATGCTATTAGAAAAAACTTCGAAGTTGCTGGGACAAGGAATAGAACCCGGAAATATCGACGGGTAATGCGCACCTCTACTACTTGGTCTAATCTTCAAGTGATTTATAGCAACATGAAAATTGCACATTGTTATATTAAAATTTAATGCGCTGAGACCGCATACTTAGGATTTTTTAGAAAATCTGAATTAAAAGTTGCAAATTAGTATGCCAATTTATTGAACTTAATTTAATTTATTTTTTTGGGTAGTTTGAAGTTCATACTATGAACAATATTTTTATAAAAAATTACCGAAAAGAAATTAGAATAAAAAACTGTGCCTCTTTTGCGAAAAATTCTCTGTGCCAATACTTTTGTTCGTCACATTGCGCCTTAAAGTGTATCGAAAAACTTTGGCGTGCAGATAGGGCGGTAAATCTAAGGCGCCTATCAATACGCATCGCGATATTTGGATCGTGATCCATATTGATGGATCGTGAGTGTGCGCTAAACGTTCAATATTTATCGCGTCAGTATTTGCATAATTTGTGTGCTGGACGCTTATTATGGCGCAAGAAAATATTTCTATTCCGTATCAATAATTTACAGATAATGCATTCCATAATTCTTTTAAAAATGCTTTCAATTTGTTTTGAAAGGTTTTAAGCGCCGAGAGCGTATACTTTTTCGGTGTTCGCATTATGAGAGTACAAAATGTACTGACGAAATGTATGTATCGCGTTTCGAATATACTACACCTTCAATATTTATTGCGCGATCCGTGATCCGTGACCCGGATTTCAAAATTTCTAGATATTTTGCGATCCGTATCACGATCCATCAATATTTGATGCTACACCTTCAATAAATATCTAGATCCAGGATCGCGATCCGTATTGATTGTGTGACAGGCACCTAATATTTTTTTAAGTTACAGGAGAGGCGTGGCAAGAGCAGAGGAGCGAATTTAATTTTGTTCGTGCATTTACTCTCTGAATTGTCGTTTTTGATTTTTCGACAGTTTAGGGTACAAAATTAACCAATAATATATATTTATTTATGTGAATATTATTTTGTTTAAAAGTACTTCTCCCTATTTAGTGAGTTCATTATTATAATTTCGTCTTCCTCATACTAGTAGTATAAAATAAGTGCTGCCAACCCCAATAAGAATGATCCAGACCGTTTCCGTGAGAAATGATCGTGACTTTGAGCTGGATAACCTAAGGGATTTTGTTTTGTTAGTGTACAAATGCATGTACATATGCATATATTTATGCCTAAAGGTGCTATGTATGTATGTATGTACGTGAAATTATTTATTCACTTGTTATAACTGTTGGAAAACAAGAGGTATGTGAGATAGGCATGCTACTAACTATAAACATAAGAAATAAATACATACGTACGTAGTGTGTATGGACATACATGTGTACATATGCATGTACGTGACTACTACTTCATAGTTTACTACGTAATAAGGAAAATATAAAGGATGAAAACAGAACGAATTAAAATAGAGGCGAATAAAGTAAAATTATAATGAGCATGCATGATCCTTCGACAGCAGATGTTATGGGACGACAAGCAATCGCATTTTTTTCTTTCACTGCCAGCAATGTAACAATTTGTATATGCTTTGACACCGATTATAACAATGAAATTGTATTAAATTTTTAATACATACATTAAATTATTTGCTTACCTTTCTAATGCGTTTTTGTATTATACGTTCTGCCGCGTAAACGCGGTCGTCAGAACTTCCCATGGTGTTATCCAGTTTGACGATTTTTTATTCTCACGCACCAAAATGTTTCACACTGTGAAACTTCACTGGATGAGAAAAGCGCGGGCAATAAATGAAGAAATGTGATGAAAATAAATATTTATGTTCTATTTTTTAATCACATTTGTTTTAAAGCATGCACTAACTATTCATTTCACACTTGCCTTTAAAAAATACGACAAGCTTATTGCAAAATGTATCTTTACAATGTTCAACCGAAAGTATCTGCTGCAACCACTTTGAGTTTTACTGGTGCAGGAAATATTAAGCGCCAGCGCTCGAAAATCCGCATAAATAAAAATGCAAAACGTCCTTCAACAAATGTATCTGCTGTTTCTCCCTTCTCCGTACACTTAGCCGACCAACAAACATGGAAAAGTACGCAAATCACAACTCGCTGTCTGTCACACCGCACGACGAATATGAAAAATTCAAACTTTACACATTTGTAAATTCAAGAACTCATAAGACGATGTTTTATTTTCATTTTTAAGCCGTACCAAAGACAAATTTATTGGCTTTCATTAAATTAATAATTACCACGATTGAATCTTATTAACAAACACTTTGTTTTCCGACGCCAAAATTTCTTCTTTCTTTGACTAAAATGCGAGAACAAATGAAATCGTTGTAATTATTTTACTCGTTATGAATTTGACGGTGATGCCATCTGTCTGTAAATTTGTTTACCAAATAATTAAGGACCATACACAGTGTTCACATATAAGTCTTACGTCTTTGCAGTTAACCCTACGTTTAAATTAAATAATGCTGTCATGACAATGATGAATATATGTACTAATATATTATTTGTAAAAATCGCTGATCATTGTCTCCGTGGCGAAAGCGTCCTGATAATTATTATGACAATTCATTTTGAGCAAAATGGCCAACGTGAAAGTTGAATACTTAAATTGCAGAAGTACGCGTTTCGCGCGAGGTATATATGTAAGCTAAAAACTAAAAACTTAATAAAGCACTGACAAACATGAACCAATTAGAACAGATCTGACCGGATGAGAAGCTGCCCTTTGTAATAGCAATTGAGAAAATTGGTTTGCCAATGGTGCTACAATGAACGCTTGACAACAACGTTTTGTTCTAGGAAAGTGTAGGGTCATTTTCGAAGTAATTTTTTGCGTAGAATCCGAATCCGGGGTTTAAATTGCTC